GCGCCCCGACATCCACACCCCATGGAGCCTCAGTTCTTAAACCCACCCACACCGCGATTTCTCGTCCAAAAACGACCGACGCCCCCCGCCGCGCCCCCGCCGCGCCCCGACAGCCACACCCCATGGAGCCTCAGTTCTTGGACCCCCCCACACCACCATTTCTCGCCCAAAAACGGCCGACCCCCCCGCCCACCGCGCTCCCGCCTCGCCCCGACAGCCAGACCCCATGGAGCCTCAGTTCTTGGGGACCCCCCATCCCGATGGAGTCTCTCTTCTTCGGACCACGTAGTGGGCCGCAGCAAGCGGTCGGTCGTTCGGTCGGTCGGTCTGCGCGCCAGCCCCGTGGCCGGGCCGGCCCCCTCAGGGGCAGACGCGCCATCGCTGCTTCGACCTCGCTCTCTTCGACACCGATTGCACACTGCGATAAGTGCGCTCGGCGACTTCTTGTTTCTTACGCTCTTCGTGCACGAAGCACCTGTTGCGCCGTTGCTTCCCATTTGGTCTTTTCGTCGCCCGCTGCGCCAACCAGCGGCCGAAATCCTCTTTCGGGGCCACACCCTTGCAGGCTATGCGTGTCCAACATCCGCGTTGCACCCTCGCCCCCTCGATGCAACGCTTGCACTTGCGCTTCTGATCAGCCACGTCGGCCCACATGCGACTCGAAAAAGAACTCGCCCCCCTGACTTTCCCCGCACACCGCGCAAACTTTGGCGTTCACCCTCGCCCCCTCGACGCAGCGCATGCACTTCCGGTCCTGATTAGCCGCGTCGCTCCACATGCGATCCGAAAAGAACTCCCGTGCCTTGCCCTCCCCACACACCGCGCAAATCTTCAAATACTTCCTAGATTTTGCGACCCGCACTGCAGCCTCGGCGTCGACGCACGCAAGGCACTTCCGGTCCTGATGAGCCGCGTCGCTCCACATGCGATCCGAAAAGAACTCCCGTGCCTTGCCCTCCCCACACACCGCGCAAATCTTCAAATACTTCCTAAATTGCGCGGCCCGCTCTGTAGTCTCGGTGTCGACGCACGCAGTGCACAGCGTCGACGCCGTGTCCGTGTGGTCCAACTTGCGCCAAGAAGCTCTGCCTTCTTCTTCGACTCACCGCACTTTGAGCATACTACCCGTTCTTCGGCCTCGGCCCGCGCCTTCTCCTCCTTTTTCACCAATTGCTTACGAGACTTGCAAATGAGTTCGTCCTTGCACTGCTCCGCTTTGGAAAATTCGACCCGCAACTGCTCCTGGCCGCAGCGCGCGCGCGCTTGAGGCGCTTCTTCGGCTCCTCGCACTCGAGGCGAACTCCCCCTTTACATCGGGCGTTCCCTGCCATCTCCCACTGCAACTCCACGAACGCATCCTCACATTTCCGCTCCTCGCATACGAAGCACTCTCGCCTCTCGGGACAGCCCGCGCAACGCCGCGACGTGAGCTTCGATCTGTGGCGATGGGGCGCGTGGGAAGCATCCTGGCCCTTCCACAGGAAACACTCCGTGCATTGCCGCGGCGTGCCAACGCTTGCTTTGCCTTCCAAGCGCAGCTTGCACACGCGGAACCCGTCGGGCCGATTCCACTGCCCCAGCGCGCACTGGTTCTTGTACTTCACCGACGAGCACAGTGCGCACCTCCCTGCAGGCATGAAATCCTTCTCGATGGCATCCCAATCCATTGGCTCTCCCCGCAATGACTGCAACAGTAATTCGGGCCCCTTCCGCTCCTTCTGCATGCGCGGCGCGCGGTCGAAAGGCCGAAATATCAACATGTCCTCCCGACGCCGCGCGCGCGTCAGAGCCGCGTAACTCGACAGCGGCGACGTGCCCCCGCCAATCCCCAGGTCTACAATGACACCCTGTTTGAAAGTTTGGCCCTGTGCTGAGCGGGCCGTGACTCCAAACGCGGGGGCCAAGGGGAACTGCCGCCGCTTCGCTTTCAGGCGCGGATAAGGCCGACCCGCGTCCACGAACCAATCTTTCCTCTGCGGGCTCACGGGGCGCAGGCCCGGCGTTCGGAGCCCCGGAATCGCCCACTTGCATGGGGTGACGTGCCCTGCATCATCGCGACCTTCGTCGAACAAGACAAATATCACCTGTGGCGTCTTCGGCAACGTGGCCTCCACACCCTGGCAGGCGCGGCCCGCTCCTTCCTCGCCATCGCGCGCCCATGAGTGCACGGCCCCCACGCGACTGCGGAGCAGATACTTGTCCTCGCTGCGATCTATGTGATCCGCGAGGGCCACTGGCATGCCCTCCGAAATCGGCAAAAACCCATGCAGATCCCCGCTCTCCTTGTCGTGGCGCTGCAACCAGGCCATTTTGTGGCGCGGCAAGTCTGGTCGCTCCCGTAGCGCGTCCGGCGTGGGCGTGTCGCGCGCAGGAATGCACGCCATCGGCTTCTCGTGCACCCGGGCATACTGCGACGCTCGCAGGGTATTGTGGGGGCCTGTCCTCCTCCTCCTCCTCCTCCTCCCCCTCCTCCTCATCCTCCTCCTTCCTCTTCCTCCTCCTCCTCCTCATCCTCCTCCTCTCTTCTCGTCCTCTCTCCCTCCCTCCCGCCCTCCCCCCATCCCTCCCTCCCTGAGCTCCAGGCCCTGCAACAAGACACTGCAATACCCTGGGCGAAACGACTCTGGTTCCAGAGGACGCTGATCTCTAGCGATGGTTCTCACTGCATTCGGACAAGCTTCTTTACAAATTGCCTGAAACTCTGTTGACCACCAGAGCGAGAGATATAGAGAGAGGAGGAGAAGAGAAGACGAGGAGTGGGGAGGAGGAAAGAGGAGGGAAGGGGAGGGATGAGGAGGACCGTCGGACACAGGAGGATATGCACAGCGAGAATGCATAGCGAGAAGCAAAAGGAAGAGAAGAGGGGAGGGGACCGCCAAGAAGGGCAACCTCACGCGGAGATATCGCAAATTTCCGCGCGGGCAACTTCCGCGACGTCGTCGCGGCCTGGGCCGCCGCACTCAAAACCACACTCTGGATGGATATGCCTGACATCGTCACCACGGGACTACCCGAAGCCACAACTCAGGCTACACGACGCCCCAGAATTGGCGATGCCTTCCACGGCCAAAAAAAACAAACGGATAGACTCCAGATGAGTCAGATGAGTTGTCGTGTCCAACGTTGGCATGCTCGAGATGCACGGCCGACGTGGAGGTACCGAAACACCTGTGTTGCAACTGGAACACACATCGGAACAACAAGACGAATGGAAATGCGGCCGCCGCAGCAGCGGGAACCCAGGAGGCCCCGAAAAACCTCCCCGAACCTCCACGAGTCCCCCGAACGCGGCCCCAAGAACCCAACATCACTGACTTTTTATTGTGCTTGACGGATGTGCGCGCGCCAAGAACACCGAAGAGCACGAAAGCCTGCCCCAACACGACACCTCCTTGACGTGCTACTGCCGAGCCCCTGCCCCGCGCCCAAAACCAGCTGACACGCGCCATCATGACCTCCTTTGGGGTCGGCGGCAGAGGCGGCAGCCTTTAAATTTCTGCATGGGTGCGTCGATGCTATCTCCATCCCAACCCAGAGCCTCACCAACTGTTATTCACGAGTGCTGAGTTTATAACCGATAACTCTCAAAAGGTCCCTTTGTTTCTGGCACGCCGCTTAATCGACGCAACGCTTGAAGACAAGCATGGGGCATTGCTCATACTTCTGTTAGACTGGAGGACGGCGTTTGATCGTATCAATCCCGCCGGGCTGCTGCACGCATTGCGTCAATTCCAAATACCTGCGGCCATGACCGATACGATTCAAGGTATATACACAGCGCGGGAGTTTGTTGCGCGAGAAGGGCAACACACACATCCTCACAACGTACGCAAAATGCTGGCATTGCTCAGGGCTGCCCTTTATCCCCGCACATTGTCATAATCCTCTCTGAGATGATGGAATCCGTGGACAACGAGATGAACAACAACGCCGGAACGTGCACCAACAACTATCTCGTTACCCGGGACATCTTGTATGCCGACGACACGATGTTTCTTGCCGACAAGCCGGACGCATTGCAGCGCCATCTGGATCTCGTGGCAAAGGTTGGCCAAGGATTTGGGTTGGACTTGAACGAAGGGAAAACTATGTTGATGAGGATCCGATCAGATGCTCGCATATTCGGGCCTGGACGCGAAGAAATCCAATGCAAAAATCATGCAAGTTATTTGGGAGGACTTCTTAGTTCCGATGGGAATCCACACGCTGAACTTACAGGGCGACTCGGGGAAGCGAAAGGTGCCTTCCAACATCTCAGCACTGTATGGAACCACGCGAGTGTGAGCCGACAGAAGAAAACACGAACATTGGAAGCATGCGTAATTTCAAAACTACTGCATGGTCTGGAACCATGTCTCTTACTATCACGTGATCTGGACCGACCCGGCGGTTCCCAGGCGAGGTGTCTCCGGAGAACCTACAAGATCCCGCCAGCGTTTGTCTCTCGAGTCAACAATGTTCAGGCGCGAACGACAGCACAAGCACAAAAACTATCAGTTGTTCTATTGCAGCGGCAACTGAAATACTACGATAAAGTGGCGAGGTCTCCTTCGACGGCATGTCCAAAGACAATGGTACTTGAGTCAATTGAGCAAGGGCCCACGCTTGAGCTTGCCCCATGGAAGTGGAAAAGGCATCCTTCGCAAAAGAGGACGACCACGATTACACTGGACAACTTACATGCACGCCTGGGCTCTGAGCGCAGCGGGGAACGGTTCGGAACGTTTACAGGGTTTGCTGCAGTCCGCGCAGTGGGACGCAGCAGTCGATCAGTACACGCAGACATTATGAATATGTTTGCCTTATGTGCCTTTTCCTTCCCCTCCCTCCCTCCCTCCTTCCCTCCCTCCGCCCCTCCCCCGGAATGCTGCGCAGGTTTCCCTCGCACTTCGTTGGCGCAAAGGAGGCAGCGATTTCACCGAGGCACTGTGCAGAGCTGATAGTTTGCATGTTCGTGTACGCCTCCCCACATGTGTATATTCAGGATTGCCGAATATGTTGCCGATGCGCCGTCTAAACGCGGCCTTTTCCAGTCCAGCCCAGTCTCAGAAGGTCTCGCATGCTTCCCCGATTAGGAAAAAACGCCTGGCGGGGAGCTGACCAGGTCTTCAAAACTGGTGAGAGTTTAACCGATAACTCTCAGAAGGTCTCGCATGCTTCCCCGATTGCAGAAAAAAACGCCTGGCGGGGAGCTGACCAGGTCTTCATGCGGAAGGAGGAGCGGCTCACTTTGGAGGCCCGCCCTCGGTCCGAAGGCTGGTCACGAGCACATGCATCTCGGATTAGGAAAGAACACACCGCCGACCCCTTGTGGGTCTCTAGGCGTGTGAGATCGTTCCCCCCCAAAGCCCCCCCCCCGGGACCCCAAACCGGCAATTTGACCCCCCCCCCTCGTCGGACCCGACCCACCCTCGAACTCATCAGGGGGGGGGCTGGCCCCCCAGGCTCGCTGTGTAGTTCTAAGACAGCCCGTCGAGGCCCCCAAAACACACCCAAGACTGTCCAAGAGAGCACAGAGTCTCCGAATGATCGCTCCAACACGCCCAAGATGTGCCCAGGACGGCCCAAGAAGCCGCCAAGACACCCCAGGACGCCTCCAGGAGGTCTCTCAGGAAACCCCCCACGACGCCCAAATCGTTAATTTCCATAGGGAAAACGCACATGTTTAACATATGCGACTTTTCGGCCGTCACGGCGTTGACGACAGTCCAAAGAGGCCCCAAAGACCGCCCCACGTCGGCCCAAGAGGCTCCCAAGAAGTCTTCAAAACAGCCCCAAAAGGGTTCCGAAACGGGCCAAAACGCCCGCTACGTGCTCCAAAACAGCCCTTGTCGAGGCCCCCAAAACACTCCCAAGACGGTCCAAAAGAGCACAGAGTCTCCGAATGATCGCTCCAACACGCACGGGATGGGCCCAGGACGGCCCAAGAAGCCGCCAAGACGCCCCAGGACGCCTCCAGGAGGAGTTTCAAAAACCCCCACGATGCCCAAATCGTCAATTTCCATTTGGAATACGTGCATTTTGCACATCTGCGACTTTTCGGCCTTCGCAGCCTTGACGACAAACCAAGAGGCCCCCAAGACCGCTCCACGACGGCCCAAGAGGCCCCAAAGGGCCGCCAAGACAGCCCAAAAGGGTTCCGAAAGTGCCCAAAACGCCCCCAAAAAGGCAGAAGAGTGCCCCAAAACGGTTCGAAGAGGGGCCCATGAGGGGGACCTCGGACCCATAATTCCAACGTTCCGCCCGAAGAGGCTCCCAGGAACACGAACGATGCACCCCAATAGACCCCAAAAGGCCCCCAACAGGCACCAAAAAACCACAGGATGCCCCAAATAATATCAAATGAGACCCCGAAGCGGCTTCAATTGCCTTCCAAGCTGCCTCCAAAGAACTCACGAAAAAAGGGCCCCAACGACATCCCAACGGAGTCCAGCTGCAGCGGCGGTGTCGCCCCAAGACGCCCGATCCATCGCCTCTTTTTCCACGTCTCTCCCCTGGCCCCCAAACCGTAACGTCGCCCGGCTCCCTTCAGAACACATGCGCGTTCAGCATGTGCGACTCATGTCCCCCCCCTGGCCCCAAAACCGAACCATCGTCCAACTCCCTACCTCCTCCTCCTCCTCCTCCTCCTCCTCCTCCTCCTCCTCCTCCTTTTCCCACTCCATCTTCTTTTTTCACCCCTCAAGAAAAACATAACGATTCCCGACACCTCATTGGGTCAGCGGCGACTGCCACGCTCGCCAAGAAGGCCCCGGGGTCGTCCAGACAACGCGCATCAGATAAGGTGCCCATCGGGCCCTCTGGCTGGGTCAGCGGCGACCGCCGCGCTCGCCAGCCAGAGTTTTCCAGACACAGGGGGCTCGGGGACCGACTCCGGATTCATCGTGAGAGACAAAACGATTCCCGACGCCTCATTGGGTCAGTGGCGAGTGCCACGCCCACCAATGAGGCCCGAGGGTTGTTGAGATCACGCGCAGAAGATGCGGCGCCCGTCGGGCCCTCTGGCTGGGTCAGCGGCGACCGCCACGCTCGCCAGCCAGAGGTTTCCAGACACAGAGGGCTCGGGAAACGACTCTGGATTCATCGTGAGAGACAGAACGATTCCCGACGCCTCATTGGGTCAGTGGCGAGTGCCACGCTCACCAATGAGAACCCAGGGCGGTCGAGATCAAACGCAGCAGATACGGCGCCCGTCGGGCCCTCTGGCTGGGTCAACGGCCACCGCCACGCTCGCCAGCCAGAGGATTTCAGACACAGACGGCTCGGGGAACGAGACTGGATCGATCGACAGAGACAGCACGATTCCCGACACCTCATTGGGTGGCGACTGCAACGCTCACCAATGAGACCCCGATGTTGCCGAGGCCACACGCGTCAGATAGGTGCCCATCGGGCCCTCTGGCTGGGTCAGCGGCGACCGCCACGCTCGCCAGCCAGAAGATTCTGGACACAGAAAACTCGGAAACGAGACTGGATGTATTGACGGAGACAGAACGGTTCCCGACACCTCCTTGGGTCAGTGGCGACTGCCACGCTCACCAATGAGGCCGTGGGGTTGTCGAGACCACACGCATCACATATGGCGCCCATCGGGCCCGCTGGCTGGGTCAGACAGCCACGCTCGCCAGCCAGGAAATTCTGGGCGCAGAAAACTCGGGTAACGGGACGTT